CGGCGCCCCGCCCCGCGCGCCCTCGCCGCTGGGCGGGGCTCCGCCTGTCCATCACGTGGCGCTCCCACCGCCCATTGGTCCACTGCACTGAGGCACCGCCCCCACCCGGCACTCTCCCCTCTCACTGGGTGGCGAGAGAAACGGCCCCGCCCCCTCCGCCATTTATTCAGGCGTCGCTGCGGGGCGTCCTGAAATGGCGCCCCCCGGCGGCGCCCCCGGAGCTGTTTGTGGCCCGGGGCGTCGAGCGGCGGCCCCGGCCCCGGCCCCGGCCCCGGCCCCGGCCCCGGCCGGGTCTCTGCACGGCCGAGCCTCTGCATGGCCGAGCTCTCTGTTGCCTGCGCCGGTGGCTCGTGGCTCCTGGCCGGCTGGCGGGGCCTCACGGTTGGCCCTTTGGGGTGAACACGCTGCGTGCGTGTGCGGCCTGCCCAGGAGCTCTCGTGTCCTCCCAGGGCAGCCAGGGTGGCTCCTGCCCCGCAGGGCTTCGGCCCTTCTGTGCTCGCTGTGTTGTGCAGTAGTCAGCGTAAGAAGATGGCTGCCTGCACCGCAGAGCTGGCGCCGGCGCTGCACGCTGGTCGCCTGCGTTTGTCCCGGGGGGCCGTGGCAGCACTGTGTGCCCACCCTTTCCCCTCCCGCCTCGTGCCCTTCCCTGCCCTCCAGCGAGGGCGCTTGGTGGGAGCGGGGTTCCTGCCAGCACCCCCTTGTCRGCGATTCTCCCTCTAATGTTGCTGGCCTTGGTGACCTCTGGCGCGTGGGTGACAGGCTGGGGTACACTCATSTTCTTGGCAGCGTTTGTGGGCTTTTCTCTCTAGCACAGAAACTGTGTTTTTGTTACAAAATGTATTTGAATTTTACCTCGTTTTGCCTCAGAAGCATTTTGACTGAAGAATGTTGCGCTGGTTTGTTGGTAACTTAATCAAAACTGATTTTTTAGTTATATTCCTGAAGGGTTTCATAATGTCTTGGTGGTGTGCAGAGAGTGCCATGCACATGCTCGTCTTCCAGCTTATTCAGAATGTTTTCAATATCAGAACCTTCTTGAGTAGTAATAGGTCAGGGAGAAAAATTGTGTGTTTAAAATCGCTTCAAATATATGTCTTTTTTTTTTTTTCCCCTCCCTTAAGTGTCTGTTAATTTTCTTAAGGTCAGGCAGCCGTTTTGCACGTGGAGCAAATGCAGCGACGCCTCAGCAGCCCCAGCCAACCCCACGCCCGGCTGGCTCCTGGCACCGGTAAAGCTGCCTGGCAGGAGCTCTGCCAGCTGCTGAATTACCTCTTAGCCCTAACCTGTAGGTGTCTTCAGTCCCGTCCTGTGGTGGATGCAGGAGTTACAGCCCGGGTCAGTAACAGCGGCTTTGATGCSGTCCTGTCTGCGAGGCCTGGCACGTCTAAGAGCAGCTGCTGCAGTTCCCCTGCAGGTCACGAGATGGGGTGCGAATACCCRCGAAAGAGACGCTCCAAGAAAATGTTCAGCAGCGAAATGCCCCCTTCCCATGCATTTTGCACGGGCACACGAATAATTCTTACAGGCAGGGGGATAACTACCACTTCTAATAAAGTTTATTATAGGCTCTCCCAGGCGTGCCCTGCTGCCAGGTGCACACAGGTGCACRGTGGCCGTTGTGCACTGTGCCCGTGACTGGAAAGAGAGGTTGGCCTTGGCTGAGAGAACAATTCCCCGTTCTGCCCAATCAGACACCAGACAGTTACTGAAGTGACAATTTATCTTCCCCAAATGAATTGTTTTTCACTTCTTGATTAGCTGAAGTCTTGTATTTTGATAAGAAAGGCTGGTCCATCTGTGTTACTAGAATGCACACAGTTGTGGACTGAAGGGTCATTTTCAATAGTGCTAATTATTTTAAAAGCAGATGGAAGGATGCTGAGGCTATGTGTCTTGCACTGTAATTTCCTAGGAAGAGTCTGTCAAGGCATGAGGTAGTGGCAGGCATTTCTGCTCTCTTTAGTCTGTATTTCATTGACAGTTAAGAACTCAAGAGCCTAATTCTCAGTTAAGATTGGATCATAATACAGGAAAGATAAAGCAAACACTGCAAATGCAGTTGGTGTGAGCTCAGAAGAAAAGAGTTCAGATATATAAACACTTTCTRTGGTTAATCTATCACTTTCTATGGTTAATGTGTCAAATTAAATTCTCTTGAAAACTGGTAATGCAGAAAGCCTGATTTCTGCCCCTAACTGGTAAACAGATGCGAGTTGGTTCATTGCCACCAGCTGCTGAAAACTTCTGCATAACTTGAGCTTCAGTTACATCAAATGAAAAGAAATGGAAATGACAGCAAAGCAGTGCTAGGCAGTTGATGATTACAAGTTGCAGCAGATAATTACAAGTTGTAACTTTACTCTTCTGAAACTCTGCCTACCTTTTAAAAATAATTTTCTTTACAACTAAAAAGCATCCCAAAAGTGTCTCATGCCAGCACCTTAACAGGCTGTAAGGAAGAGGCAATAAATAAAAAGGGTGGTGGTGTTTGTGGTCGGTCCCAGTTTTATTCATTCTGCGTGACTGACATGCAGGGGAAAAACGCCAATACACATGTATCTGCAAATTATACAAAGCTAGAAGGCAATCAAAATGCTGAGGAGAAAATAACATGCCAGAAGACCTGAYGACATAGCARGRAGGCCCTCAGCCTGGTRAGTATGGAAATGTTTGGTCTCAAAGCACTGGAGATAGTGAAACCTGTTATTTTCTGTTTGTTTCTACTTTTTATCTGCTACCTAGCAATGTGCAAGTGACAGTTGATGCCATTTTCCTCTGCAGTTAGGTCATTTGTGTATCCTATGATACCTTAAATATATRTTAAATAAAACCCTTACATGTCACCCTCTTCACAGCGAACACTTGTAGAAAATCATCATGAAGGTTGTAAGAACTTAACATTCTTCATGGTTGGCATCTTTCAATTAAACTATATTGAAATTGGTCGATCAATTTGTAAGGCATTAGAGGAACATGGATGGACATATAGCTTGGAAACGAGGCTAAAGGCATCAGCTGGAATTTGGTGCAAAGTTTGTGGCTTCATTAAGCTCGTACAGTATGACAGGTAACAAGAACTATTTTTTTTTTTGGTGCATGTGAACCCAAAATTGTCTTGCATAAAATCCTGAAGGAATAGTCAAATGGCATATTTGGTGAATGAATGTCTGCTTGGGAATTAGTAGCCAAAGGAAAGGCAAAGTGATAAATTCCATAAAGTATTTTTTTCTAAAGTTAATGTGTGCAGAGTGAACAGACATTGCTCTGAGGAATAGATGTGTCTTTGTATTAATCAGGTTAAAAACTAGAGACTTGTTTAAAGAACAAAATGGTAAGATACAGATCTTTAGTGATCTGTATTACTCTGCCTTAGGCTGTTCTCTTACTGCTGCTTTCCAAATGAATCCTGATTTGTTGACGGGGCAATAAAGTATGCAACAAAGCCCATAAATTAAATAAATCTCATTCTGTTTACTCTTCAAGGTGTTCTTGTAGCTGTTTTATAGACTATGTAGGCAGCACATATGACTGAGAAATAAAAGCTAAACTTCAGGAGATAGTACTTAGAGTCACGCTTCAACCGACATATAAGAAATAAATTTTCAGTGCTAGTGCTTCCGTTAGTGCTGCGGAGGGGCTGGRGTTGTGTTTTCAACGTGGTCTTGGTTTGCATTGTTGGTCTTCTCAAATAATCGCAGCACTTGTCTGCAGAACAACTGGTCGGGGCTCTGGCCCGCGAAGACGAAGGCCGGACACTCGGACCTGCAGCCCTCGCCTGGGTCAGGGCCGCTCGCGAACGTCTCCTCGCACGTGATGGACAGGTAATCCTGGATGTTGATTCCTTTGATCAGCTCTTCAAAGTACTGTCTCACTGAGATTTTATACTTGGGCAGGTCCTGATGGAAGGATTTTCCTTCTAGCATTTTTTCTATCTTTTCCCTGAKCTTTTTGTCCTCTTGTAGAAATTGTACAGAATTTAAACGCTGTTCCAGGAGATGTTTCATTTGCAGATAAAGCTGTCCAGGAGCTTCGGTTTCATTTGAGATTACTTGCAGTTTCTCCARTTTTGTAGAGTAGTCATTGTGTAGCTTTGATTGCAGGTCTGCCATTCTGTACCTGATCCCTTTCAGCAAACTGCTGCCGACCGTGTCGATCATGATTTTGGTGTCTGTAGCATCGGCTGTTAGTTCRTGAATCAACTTTTCAGTTTCCTGTGTGAAAGGGACTGGAAGTTAAGMATCGTAGTGGACATGAGTGTGTTCAGAATAGGTTAAGTGCGTGAGATACTTGCCTTTTAGAGAAACATGGTATCTTGGTATATAGTGCAAGCCCTGGGCTTTTGAAACTTTTCAGTTTGGAAGCTATTAGTGCTCAAAACAATATTAAAATATAAATAATTGTATGTACATTTTGAAACCTTTTGTTATTTTGGTGCTAGGTTGGAAAGTGAATTGAACTGCAGGCCATGTTTTCAGAATTGTTCTCTTAAATCATGTTTTCTTGGGAATATGATTTGTTTTCTTTAGGAAGATCTGGAAACATCTACAAGAAAAACGTGCTGAAGCTGTTTGCCCAGCCTGTGATGCCCGGTGGTGTTTTGGTAACGTTGCCCTTCACGGAGCTGGGAGCAGCKTTCGGCTGCGTCGCGTCTGTGCCGAGGTCAGTGCGTCACCGAAGCCATGTGGCAGACAGCAAAGCTTTTGGAGAAATGGATATCCTGCCAGTGAGCAACACGGGAGCAGAGCTTATGAGGAATTTACCCTAGCAGTTCAGTGATTTATGTTAGCAGGTTTCATCATCTGCTTCGTGAACATTAAGTAATTGCACAAACAATAGGTTATATCTAGGTGAACACAAAGAGTACGTGTTTAGCCAGGGCTATAACACAATCTAAATTAGGGTTGGGATATTTTCTTATGTTTTCTGCTAAGCCATTTTATCGCATATAACCTAATTTTCTTTGGAAAATCTACAAATTGACTATCTAATATTAGAATCAAAGTGCATCCCTAATCTTCTGTCAAATATCTATTTAATTTTGTTAGTATAATCTCCAGTGAGTGTTTTTTTACCTTCCTAGCATCTTCAGATTTCTTATGCACTAGGTGTAAATTTTTAATAAATGATTTCTTTCTGGTGTTGTAAACTTCTGACACTTTCTCAACATTGTGATGTTTATGTTTTCCAAAGAGTTTGCAGATTGCACATATTGGCTCGTCATCTGTCAGGCACATCTGATAGGGAAAAAATGCACAAAAGGGTTGGTATTTGTATTTAAGGCACGTTCTTCAAGTAGCTCCTGGTTCTGTCTGCTCTTAGATACTRTTAAAACTGCCAAAACTGAGTACTGATGGTAAAGCTGAAGTGTTTGTCTTCTCTTTTTGTTCATTTTAGTGTGATACCTCAAAAGGGCAAAGCACAGGATGCTTATCTTATACAAGCTGGCCATGGTTTTTAGGAATAGTTTCAGTATTGTAGTTATTCTCTCTACAAGGCTAAACCTGAGTTATAAAGTTTTACAAAAGCTTTTTTCAAGTTTATGAAGCTGCCTGCTGGGGCTRTAGAAGTTTCCCAGTTAGTGGGTTGAGTAAAATTAATCTAGGTAAGAAATTATTCAATCTGTTACTCATTTTTTTTTGTTGTTTTGTTATAATTTTGGAATAAATTGTTATAGTTTAATTTTGTACAATTTGTTGTTATAAGAACTTTGTTATAAAGGACATTAAGTATTGAATTTCCACTAGGTTTTCTAGCACATGCATTTTGTATTCAGCATGTACTTAATGTTTTCAGAGGAGAGAGTGTAAATTACTAAAAAGGATAAATAGAAATTGGTACCAAATTCAAGCTTTCACCATGTTCTTCACACATTTGGGACAACTGTTTCTTCTCCTGGTCATGGATTTTTTCAAGCTCATCTTTAAATTTCTCTATTATACTTTCAACCAGACTATTTCTTGGCAATCCGACTAATCCTCTGCCTCTTAGGTAAATGACCTGAAAGTGAGAAGAATAGTAAAATAGTTTGAGGCATGCAGGAGTGCTTGCATGATAAGTAGTATAATGTAGAGGAGAAAAAAAAAAGGCATCATTTTAGTTGGTATTTACATTGTTGTGATTATATTTGAGATGAAATATTGTAGCTGGCTCTTCTAGAGAGTGGTTTCATTCAGAGAGGAGTTTCSTAACATCAAGGTTCCTAAGTGTCAGGTAGTCGTACGTTATCTTTGTGTGCGAAGTGCCTACCCTAAATCAGGARGAACTGCATTGTTTACTCTGAAGTACAGAATTCAGGAAATTAAGTGGAAACAATCTCAATAGTTTTTTTTTTTGTTAACAGAAGACTGAACCGCTGTGTATTTAATGGGTGCAGAATTTATCCCTAAGAAAAGCTTTCTTGGTGGGTCTTGTACTCAGTGAAGTCTATAAAATGTGGATATTAAAACAGGTGTGTTTCAAATTAAATCATGAGAATCTGTTAATTCTGAACTGGAAAAAAGGGTAACTAAATATATTATTTGATCAGAATCCAGGGAAATGTTTAGTTCGAACAAGATAGTATATAGTATTTACACATCTTTCCTTGTGGAGGAGTTTAAGAATTGTGAGGCCAGGTTCCCGTGTGTTCTGAGACCGGTAATGTGGATCCCACGCTGTTCTTGGAAAGGGTAGGTGCAGTTGCAAACAACYTGGTGCATTCTTGCAAATGCAATTTGGGGTTGAATTCCCTGTGGGAACTGTGGTCCTCCAGTGGAAAGCTGGGGCAGACCTGACACTTCAGATGAAAACAGAGGTTTTCTAACTGCRAAGTGTCACATCTGCTCACCTCCAAATGCACAAACTGTGGGATAATTTCTACTTACCTTTCTGCATAGAGGGCAATGGAAATGCCCATTGACATGGTTGCAGTTTTGGTGGATGAGGATCTTTTCCAAGCATGGCTTGCAGAAGTTGTGTGCACACGACAGGACCAGGATGGGTGGCGTGAACAGGTCTAAACACACGGGGCATGAGAGGGCCTCTCTCAGAGCCTCCATCGTGCGCTTCCACCGCGTGAGGAAGAGCCCTTTCCGACCCCTGTSAGGAACAGTCCCTTTCTGGCACCACCGGAGCTCTGGAACGCGTCTCCCTGGCTCTGTGGGAACATCTCCATGGCAGCAGCGTCAACAGATCCCTTCTGAGATGCTGACGGTCTGACTGGGTCTCCTGCACTGCGCTGCTCCAGAAAGCTCTTCTTTTGGAACACCTTGGTCTTCATTTAAGCACTTTCTGGCTGTTTAACACTGACAGTTGTTCAGTCCAATGACTTTTACTGTAATTAGAATGGGCTTGCATGTCAATGAAATCTCCTTATGTGGTAAATTATTTTATTACCTATACCTTTTGTTGTTCTTATTCTCATAGTCTTACTGAAGTATAAGCTCTTTAGCTGTCAGCTGACAGTGGGTAACTCCTGTGAGGGTAGAGGAGTCAAATCCTCTGGTAAATCAGGCAGGCAGAGACACGTGTTCTGCCCATTTCAGAGCTAACTCTTGATCACTGTGGCATTTGTATGAGGTCCTTCATTATACAAATACTGGCCCAGCACAAGGCTGAGCCTGTGCTGTCAGTGCAGCAAGGGAGAGACCAGGCAGGTGCTGCTGTGACAAATGGTAGCGACCTCCACTGTGAGTCAAATATCAGCTGTGATATTAACATTTCAGTACAGCTGTACAAAACAGTTACTCTTGAGTAACAGCTTGTCATCTCCTTAATGGCTCTATAAAAGTATAAAAGCTATTTTTYGTGGAAATTTAAAACCACAGGGAAAAAAAATTAGATCAACATGCTGTGAAAAAAATGTTCATTGAGGTGCACACTAGATTTTTTTTGGCCCTTTGGGTAGTACTCTCTATTTTWTTTTTTTTGTGGTGTGCAGGGTATAACAATTTACTGTTGTCAAATTGATATATGCTGTCTTGCAGTTGAAGGAGTAGATTTATTTGTTTTGGGTAGTCTGAGGATATGAAGATATGCAAGATCTATATTCTATATTTTCAAATTTCTTACAAAACAATGGTGATTTTATTGAAGTAGGAAAGTGGCTTGATGCTTATTTTGCTGAGAAATGTCATCTCCATGTCCACTATTGTAGATCTAATAGGGATATTTAAGATTACTCCAGTGATTCCAGTGATGTTTCCCTCCTTTCCTTCCCCCTTCCCACCCCACTCTTTTTTTTTAACCAGGTTAAAGGGCAGGTGAACCTCATCCACCTGCATTTTCTAAGTCTGACTTCCTGGAGCTGAGTGGATCTTCTGCAAATTAAATACAGATTTCTTTTTTTAATACACAGATAATTTGTTTCAATATGAAATTATGTATTGCTAAAAACATAGCTGTAAAGCAGCTAAATAGGTGTAGGCACTTAAAAGGATTAGTCCAAAGCCTTAGGCTGCAATTGTAACCTAACYGTGCTGTAGCTGGCGCGTGTCCCTAACCAGCAGAGGGAGCAGAGAAATTGTGGCCTTAGTTAAGGTAAGAAGAAAAGCAAAACCTATAGATTGTTTGGATGCCTCTGGTGAAGGGGTCTGTTGCTAGTTCTGTTGGCAATAGTTCAGTCCCCTTTATTTTCTTCTAGAAGAGGGTTAGTCCCTTCCTGCGAGGAGGGCCAGTGGTCCGGAGTGGTCCCGGGTCTTCCTGAAGATCCCCCCGCTGCAGATGCTCTGCCAGCAGCAGCTGCTGTGTGAGCCAAAGTAAAAGCTTTTATGCAGCTGCTGCTGAGTGAAGCATGAGCAGGGTCCCAAGCTCGGAGAGCAGGAGAGGGCACCAGGAAGAGCAGATGTCCTTCCCTGCTGCTCTGTGCAGGAGAGCACGTGGAAACATTTTTATGTGCAACTTCTTTCTTTGGGACCTTGGAGGGGTGGCAGTGCTGGCCATGGCCAGGTGGAAAGTGCTGGGGACCTTTCAGCACTGTTGTGAAGATAGACTCCTTAATCACAAATATGTGATTCATGTTTAATGCATGAGGAAATGATACAATAAAAACTTGGTGGTGTTTATACCTCCCACGTGGGAAATCARTTAATAGCCTGCTGCTTGTTTGTGGGCTTGATTGTTCATTTAGATGGGCTGTTTTTGTTTGTTTCTTGTCACGTGCTCAGTTAGAAGTGGTAGCTTGTTTGGAAGTCATTGCAACCACATCAGTCAGTGAATTGGAAAAAAAAAAAAGAAAAAAAAAAAAGAAAAAGTTCTGTAATATGCCAGTTCCACACCCTCCATCTGTGTGGAAAGCCTGTGGGTAATTTTTCAAATACCAATYTGACATTAACTACGGTAAGATTATTCTAGCTAGGTTTAATGGTATGTCAAAGACCCTGTTAAGTAATGCAATTTAAACGATTCTGAGTTGGTTTCTAACCTCCTACTATATAATACCAGCAATTGGTGCTAGCTTTTCTGAACTGACTGAAGTAGGCTGAAATAATTTCTTAGGAACCTGAGACATCTGCAAATGCATCTTAGAACTCCCAAGCGTGGCCGCTCAGACGCGCTGCTTCTGCTGTGTGTTACGTTCCCTTACAAGCCTGCTTTCCCCGTGAGTCACGCCCAGCAGTTTCACCTTCGGCTGTGCTTCCTCCAGGCTCATTCTACTGAAGTACTTGTTTGGCTCAGAACGGGATGTAATCCTTGCACGCTGGAAGCGTGTCTAACCTGCTAAACTGCACTGTTGTTTTTATGCTCAATATGAGTCACTTAGCAAAACAAACAAACAAAAAAAAGGGACAGATTTTAGTTTAACTGCTTAAATATATCAAACTGGATCAATGGTATATCCTGAAAACTAGCATACTACTAGTCTGCATTTGAAGCCCATAATCAAAAATTGCAGTTATTATATTCCAGTTGTTTCTATCTCATTAGATGAATATATTTATAAAAAGTATATTGTAGATAAGATTTTCATGAATTATTTTTGAGTATTATTCTATTATACATACTTTTTTTTTGCTCAATGTAATTAAAGGGAAGAGAATAATGCCCTTGCTAAGGTTTGCTATTTTTTTTTTTCATTTAAATTAAGGTGGAAGTTTAGTAAGGTAAAATTTTTCTCTTATTTAAATCATTTAAGATGACATAACCAATTTTTCTCTAAAAACAACATTAGAAACATTTTGCTGAAATTTCCAAGTTGATTTCTAACTTAAAACCTTGCTAATTTATTTAATTTATTTCTGTATTGCAGCAGCCTTTACAAACACATCAGTGAGTATGATTAAAATATGGGAAATAATTATCATCTGCTGTTAATAGCAAATCTCACCGTTCTTTCATTATTATACTTTATTTTAAATTTTCTAAAAGGAAAAGGAGCTTAAGTACAATGGATATTTATTTTCTGCAAAGTAATGTAAACATACTTAATGTTAACATATAAATACAAACTCAATCCATTGTGTACTGTGGCACTGAACTTAATGGCAAACGTATAACTTGAAAATAACATAGCATGCCAATAACAGAGGTCCCTAAATCAATAAATACCTTTAAAATGAAGAGAACAGTTCACAATATTAAAGCAAAGAACTTGAAACCAAATACTATAGTACAGTCACAGAGGAGCTGTTCAATACAACTGTGTAGGTGAAACAGTTGTCACTAAAACTCCCTTTAAAAAAATAAAATGTTTGTTAATAACTCTTATTATCTAAAGTTAGGTAAATCATGCCAAATAGCACAAAATACAGTAGCTGGAGAATGAAAAATAATTTGGTAAGCCCATCTAATTCTTCAGTATAGCTGTGTAGAACTCAAGAAGGATTTTCTGTTCCTTCTTTGACCTTTCTTCTCTTTTCTTCCAGAGTTTGTTTAAATACTTTTTTAAGAGTATTATAAACATATGGTCCATTTTCAGAATCAAAGTTTGTCTAATAAAAGGAAGAAAATATTAATTCAATTATTAAATATATGCCGCATAACAAATTGCAAAGTAGATGACTAACATTGTTAAAAATCTAAATTTTTAGCTTACAAATGTACCATAGAAAGTATGCATTTAATGCTTGCTATCAATTTTATGTTAAATAGACAGTAAAATAAACTAGCAGAAGGAGAAATGTTGTGATTGTTTTAAGAGGCTGCAAATCTGTAGATTTACAAGAGTTTGTGAAGCCTATGATGAACTTGATTTTGTTTTCCAAATAATTTCATTATTGCTGTATCTGAGAAGAAAGCAGCTTTGAGCTGAGTGGCTCAGAGCTGAACTTTCTTTACTAGGTAATTCCAAAAGCAGAGGTGCCTGTTATTTATATATAACCTAAAATAACTGAATTACAGCATAATTTCAGAAAAATGATTTAATTTGATGGAAAGACACTTAGTAGGACGAAATCTACCAAAGTGTGTGGTAAATTCTCCAGTGGCTAATTATTCTCAGCATTTTGATATGATCTTTCCCCAATTTGAGATATTCCATGAATTGAAGTAATCTAGATGTAGACAAACAATACTAAAGTATTAAACACATTCTACAAGGCTCCAGTGACAGGACTGAATTTTGTTGGGAATATTTCCAATCTTTATGTAGGCTGGTAATTGTAAAATATAAACTTTGAAGTAAATAAGCATCAGTACAATAACTGTGAAGGAACTGCTGTGATTTTTAACACAGAATACCACTCTAACCTTCACAGTTCATAAAGAATAAATACAAAGTCATGGACAAGTGGTTACTTGCCTTAGTGAAAGCTTTAATAGCGCGAGCAAGCAAGGCCTCCTCCACATCAGCTGGCAGCGTTTGCAAGTTCACCACACAATTCAGAATACAGAGGATAGTCTGACACTGCTCCTGGTGAGTAAATGGAACAGCAGCTCATTAGGGGAAATCTTTTCAATTAAAATCATCTAACTTGTAATTTTTGTTAATTGCTGTTGAAATATCAGACTGTGCCTTCTTGTACTGAAACCTTCAGGTGGAGGTGTTGGGGAGGGGATATTCAGAAGCCTTAAGAGCTGCTACGTTTTTTTTCTTTCAGCCATGATGGGAGAAAGTCTTCTCTTGTAGAATATCCCACAAGCTGCTCTGGAAATTTCGAGGAGGCCGGGCATTCACCTGGAGACTTGACTTCCACACAGGCTTCCTCAGGCACAGCAGCACTCACGCGAAGTTGCACACTAAAGGTGAGACTGGATCTCGTCAGCCCAGAGYACTATGCACATTTAAGACTTGGATTCCCAACTAAGTATCTGCCTCTCCTAGCAGGTCTCCTTCACCATGAAGGGAAGTTCCTAGAAGTTCAATTAGTTAAAAGAACAAGTAACAACCTCAGGGACTTCTGAGAAGCTAAATAGGAAAGGATAAGATAATGTGAGATAATCAGTAATTATTTTAAATTAAAAGAACTTTCCCACACATTTATAACAACTGTCAAGTACTTGATGAAATTGTAAAGATAAAACCATAATAAGGTGGAAGAATTTTGTGTCCTCAGGAAGAAACATGCCATTTTGAGATGAAATTGAGAATTCTGAATGTCATGAAAATGGCGAGAGCACAGGAGGCTCTGACCTCTTGTTGAGTGAAGCTCAACAAGTTGAGGGCTCTAGGAGGCTGTTAAAAGGGGCTCTATTTTCTCCATATTTCAGAAGCAAAGAACGCTCAGATAATTAGGAAGCGAACTTGTATCATTTAAAGATCTACAATGAACTTTTTATTTATCCTACATCTAGCCCTTTGGAGAAAAGACAATTCAATGGGTTTGGATCAGAAGGACCTGTTTTGCATATAGATTTCAGAAAACTCATGGCTGGAGTTTTGAATTACATAATGGAATTTGGCTTGGCTTCTGATTCCTTGAATTGGCAAATTCTTCCTACTCCTTGTTCCAACTCTGCCAAAGCTGATGGATTAAGATGTTTGCTCAGCAAATATGACAACTCTTAGCATACCTGCCAGATTTGACATTAACAAAAGCCATCCATGGAGTTTGCTGGAGAAAGTTTCTGCCTTTGCCTCAGCTGCAGAATTTGCAGGTAAATAGGCTGCTCGTGAGCTTCCACTGAACAGAGCTCAAAGGTAAGAGCTGCGATTTTTCTTAGAATATTCATCACCCTGACACTGACTGTGACTCTTACCAAAATAATCATAATTTTGATTTTTACAAATTGAAATTGCCTTTTAAAAGTGTAATTTCCTTTTCTAAGGGCAGTAAGCAAATAGTTTAAAATAYATTAACAAAATATATTGGCAGCAAAATAACATTTCCCATATACAATACCTACCTTTCTCAGTAAGTTAAGYGCTTCTTGTGGTTCCGTGCAATTTTTTGCCAACATGTCAATATCATCTTTGGATATAACAGGTTCTTTCAGTTGCTCTATCCAGGACCACATCAAGCTACAGAGGATAAAAGGATCTCTCTCACTACAGATTTTATCCCAAGCTCCATCTTGAGAATTCAGTTCTTTCTAAAAATATATAGATAAAAAGCATCATTTATTTACTTTTATAACATTCTCTTTGATTGTGGCAGCACTTGGCTGCCTAGGCTCCAACATAAAAAGAATTGACTTAGCAGTTATATATATTTCTATTTTTTTCTAAAGCATCAACATTAATCAGTGGAAATACAAGTGATTCTTTAAAACAGAAGGATGACTTAAATAGTACAGCTCAAAATCTCTATCTACTAGAATACATAAAACAGCTTTGGATTCCTTCTTCAAAGCAAGTCTTACTAAGAGGATTTGGTTTTGAGGATAAGCAGTTACCTTTCTACCAAATTGTTTTATTTCTACAGACAGAATTCTCTGATTAGCTGTGAGAAAGCAGCTAATTAAAAACTTGTTTTTTAAAAGCTTAAAACCAACGTAACTTTAACTTTAAAATTTGTAGTACTTCAATGTTAGCAACAGCCAAGTTAAAAACAGAGATAATAGCATCAATTTTCATTAGTTAGGAAACTGAATGAGCATGGCCAGAAACAATGTTCTGACCTCCTGTTAGAGACCAGAATGCATCTGTTCATTTTGCTTATTTTTGAAAGATCCAGCCAGAGCTGACAAATGCAATCATTTACTTGATCAGAACATAAATCTCTGTCCTTGTATGTCATTTCAGAGGTCCCCCAGATTCCTTTCACTACCTACCGGYGGCATTTTTGCCATTCCAGGGATTAACCTAGGTGAAATATGCAGAACATGTAACATTGAGTCAAGTTAAAAATTACCTGCCACATTTCTACCTTCTGCTTCACTTCATCCTCTCCCAGAAATTCATTTATATTTGCAAGTGCTTTAGCTGCCAAAACTCGTCGGGCTTCCAAACTTAATTCTGATTGCAAAACAATGTGTGGAATTGACTCTGACAGATCTTTGCTAGCCTGGCTTTCACATCCCACATAAAAGCTTGCTTTAGAAGAAGAGGAAGAATCGGAGTCCTGAGAAGCATAGCCTCTTCTCTTATACATATTACTCTCACATTCTGCTCTACGACCAGCTTCTTTGCTAAATTTATGCCTTGATGTTCCAGGTTCCCTGGAATTCTGGAGAGATGCCAGACCTGAAGAAAAGGTTCTGCTGCGCTGTACTTCTTTGGTAGGTTTCCTTCTGTGGTAAAGCGAGCATCCATCTTCTCGTCCATCCAAATTAAATTTCCCCTGGCTCCAGAATGTACAAGTGTTACGCACTAAGACTTCTTTGTTTAACTCCAACGTGGGCTTTTCCCCACCTGCAGCAGAGCACTCATCGACACTGTCCTGCTGAAGCTTGCTGTGCAGCAGTATCTGAGTAGGTACCGTCCATACAGTTTCCCTTTGGTCTAGGAGAAACTCGGTTGTCCTTAAATCTGACTCGCTRTAGCTTAGACGCCTTTTCATGTGTGTGAGCGGCTGAAGGCTTGCAGCATTCCTCCTCCTCCACAGAGGATCGTGAGCATGTGCCAGGGAGAAAAGAGCATTCTGGCCCTCAAAAGCAGCTGAGTGGGTTTGGGAGAAYGACTCGGAGGTATCGCTGTCCTGTCGTTCTAGCTCTTTATCTAGATGTGTGGAAGACAGCTGAGAAACCGTCTGCTCGATTTCTGCTGACAGGTCTGCTATGTCTAACAGTTCTGCCTCTATCACTTGTCTGTTTTCAGCTATGTCTAGCAGCAGTTTGCAAACTAGGTGAATAAGTTTTGGCACGTGTTTGAGATGCCTGCTCTCATAGCCGTGGAGTAGATGTCTCTGACGGGTCAGGTACTGAGCCAGTGTCACTGTGTGCGCCCTGGGCTCACAGCAGGCAAATACGTTTCTCAAAGGAATCAAAAACTGCGTGAATTCTCTGATGCATAACAGCTGCCCTCTAGTCTGAATAGAATTGGGCCTTTTTGCTCTAACAAAAAGAATTGCCTGATCAGCGGTCATTCTTGTTGCAAAAACTAGATAGCAAGCTATTAGAACACCTGCAAAATATAAAGACAAATATTAGCTGAAGATTACAGATTAAAAGACTACAAGATTAAGATTGAAGACTACAAGATTAAAATGAATATTCAGTAAAGTCGTGCAAACTGAAAATGAATATAGGCAAAGATACAAGTTTTCTGTCCTTTGTTATGTGATGCTATTAAGTTAGTAAGGTTGCATTTGTTGGACTGCAAGGTCCTAAGGGCATTCTCACCACACTTAACAAGTTATGTCTAGTAGTTGCAGCTGTTTTGCTGCAAAAAATCAAGAGCAGTGCTGGCTCCTACAGAAGGGTCTCAGGTAGCAAGATAGCTCTTGAAAGGGCCAGAAATAATTTAAATTTCAGATACTTAAAAAAAAAAAAAAAAAAACTACTTGATCTAACAATCAGTGATAGGTTTGTAAGGGTAATCATATAATAACTGTATTCAAAAATGAATATGTACTGATTTTTTTCCCCATCAACAGGAGGCTATCCCATTTCAGTAAAGAGAATTATTTTATAGATTTAAAGGTTTTGTAACTTTGTTTTTTATGTCTGTGAGAGGTTATTTTCATATATAAACCTTTAGTTTTTTTAACCACTCGATAGATGTACATCTTGCAATGATTCAGGAAAATTAATATACAACCAGAGGATCCTTTGCATCTTTAAAAATAAAGTTCTGTTCATTTTTGGAGTAGAGGACACAAACCTGTCCGCCCAAGTCCTGCATGACAATGAACAGCCACCCTTCCTTCCTGTAAGGCGAAAGTCATGACTTTTACCATATCCARTATAGTGGTGAGAGATGCCACTCCATAATCCTTCCATCCAAAATTATAAAAATAAACTACAATGAAAAAGAAATAATTATTTTCAGTTGTACAGAACATGAAATTTTCAATAGTGTATGAGGTGGAGAGATGACCAATAATAAATGATAATGTTAAAATGGCATAAAGGATCCAAGAATAATCTGGCTACATAATGTTTGAAAGCTCTAAGAAAACTCAATAAATATACAAAACTACTAAAGACTTGTCAAACTAAAGTTCAGCTGCAATGCAAATGGTATAATAAAATGAGTGATTCATACTAAAATTACAGAGCTATATATAGGTAGAACATTTTTTTTTTTTGTGGGAAATAAAAGCACTTCTCTGTTAAATACTCTTTCTTATACAGAGGTAATTCTTCTCATCTCACCATAATATGAAAATCCAAAATTATTGTCAATACAAATATTCTCAAATCAAAGGAATGACCATATTATAGTCTATGTAAAAAAAAAAAAAAAAAAAGCATTGTACCAGAATTTGCAATACATACAATTCATGTTTACATATTTAAGAACTAGGTAGAAAAAAAGAGAAAAGAAAAAAAAAATCTTATTCCAAACACCTGAATAATAAGTTGATTCTTGGATAATGTATTATTCACTCTTGATTACATTTGCGAACTTTCATTTTTATATCCTTTTTTTGTGCAACATTTCTTGCATAGCTGCTTTTAACATACAAGCACTCAAGCCAAAACACTGCCAAGTGCCAGATCAATAATGAATGTGGAAGAGCAGCAGGAGTCTAACTTACTTCCAGCCTCCATGAATGTTTCGGGAAGGTAGGTGAAGCCACTCTCTTGTTCCAGAGGATTCCCACAGCTTGCATGCTCCCCAGGTCGCTGAAGGTTAATTATGGTTTTTATGCTGAATCTTAAGCAAGGAATAGATGAGTCAAAGTATTACGTGCAGCCAAAAACCTCATTAATACCTAGTTTCTGAAACACACATTTATTCTTAGAGGAGAGTAAATCTTTACCTGTATATTGTTAAAATGAAAGGATCTTTACCAACAATCCAAATCTACGTTGAAAGAGAAAATGGATCAGGAATTACATGAGTAATGCTTGTAAGAAGTAGTGATTAAATCTTTTACCTTTCAAATTGTTCAATAATGTTGTACTTTTCAATTAATTCTGTCGAGGGCCGAGCTGTAGCCAGTATGTTATCTGTTATCCTAAGAAATTAAAAAGGTATTTAATAATGTCATTATCATAATTGCTTGGATATGAGTGTACCAAAACTAGAACACCATTTCATCTTCAGGAAAGACAAACCCCTTGCTGATTACATGGAAACTTTATTTCCATAAATGTCCACTGTTGTATATAGTGTTAGTGATAAATCCTGTTTAGCTGATGCAGACATTATATATCAAAAGACCATTACTGAAAATGTTCAAAGTCAAGGTGATTAACACATTAGAAAGCTCTTCTGAAATTTGGACTCTAATCTATGTTTGGCTCTTTATGRTTTTTTAAGATTTGTTTGCTTCTGAATAGCAGGCAGTTACCAAAAATCAATAAAAATTTAAAGATGGATTTCATATCAATGCTACCAGTTCTGAATATGCTTTTGTTGAATACTTTGTATTATTTCACCTTCGGTAACRTTTTCACTTGTGAGTTCTGTTATGAACAGATTTTAATTCATTTGTATTTGATGCCTTAGGAAGAATTATCTGTAACCCAGAAGAGCCCAGAAGGATATTTGTTTGCTTGTTATTTTATCATCAGTATTTCTGCTTTTGAATATGAACTAAACTCACTGGAAAAAATATAGTCTTTAATTGACTTTACAGGGCTATGTACAATGCCCATTATAGTTTACTGCTAAGTGGTAATTCGGAATCAATTTATCATTCTGTTTTATACTTAACCTAGCAATATTTGAGGTTAAAACAGCAGAAGCTTATGTTAATAGAATTCTCYCTTAATAAGCATAATAGATGCAGTTACATGTAGTGAAGGAAGTGCTGCATATTACCAGGAGGAGTAGAGCCCCTTGATGGCCTGCTCCTCGTCGCTCCATCGAGCAGGGTTCTCGTACTTGCAAGCCCGGCCGCCGCATGCCATCGAGCACTGCATGTGGCCAGGGATGACGTGGCGGAGGCGCTCGCCCATCTTGGTGTATTTTGCTGCTGGACGCCTTGAASTCCCTAGAACACAGGCAAAACCAGATTTAGGAAGGAAGCTTGCAAAGCCACCTCCACCTTAAAAGGTATCAGTTTAATCCTAAATTGATAGAGTTACAAACATCATAAATATATACTTAAGATTCATTTTTCAATGCAGTCTTAAAGTAAGACTCAGAAAAAATATTTGATTTCCTGCAGAAGTTGGCATTTCTCACARTAACTTTACTTTCTTTTGATAAATATACAAGTGTGTGATAACCTTTGCAACAAAACAAATGTCGCGATCTGAAAACAAAAGTAGTTAGCACACCTTTACCCATGCACCACTGGCTTTTATTATCTGTTCTCTGCAACCAAGSTTTTAGAATGAAAAGCACGTATTAAACCCTGAACAACAACAATAAAATCAAATGAAGACAATTTAAAATACAGCAAAAAGCATTTAAAAATACACACTTTATGCAAATATAAAACATAGCTGACAGAACAAAAGTTTAATCATTTAACACACACACACAGAGAACTGCCTACAGTCTTAATGAAAAGTACTTTACTTTTTTTTTCAGGAAAAGTTGCGTTCAGCTCCTCGGGGCTCAGAGATGATATGGCCACCATGACCCGGTGAGTTGATGATGACAGTACCTCTACAGCGGAGCTCCGGCGCCTCTGGATTAGGCGGAGAAGGGGATCAGAGGAAGAATGCCTCCGACCCTGGAAAAAGTTGCTAAAAATACTGGCTGCTGACCACCTCYGAGGTGAGCCCTGCATGGCTGCCCAGCGCCCGCTGCGGCTCCGGGGATGCTCCGGTGCCAGCTCCAAGTTGCTCAGGGCTGGAGTTGCTCCGAGCTGAGCATCTTTCTGTCTCATCTGGCAGCTCCTCGGGATAGGCTGAGCTGTCTCCATAGAGACACACAAAGAACCACTGATGCCAGCTATGCTTGTGGCAGCTAAATTCTGTATGAATTGATTCTGTTTGGGACAAACTGTTCCACTGCTGATGAAAATAGTTGCATTTCAAATGGATAATTTTGAAGTTGGATGAGGAACAACCAAAACATTTTCTGTAAACAATGTGAGTATGTAAATAACACGCATTCAGAATTTGCTAAGACACAAAAAGCTATATTCAGAAGAACAATCAAAATGTATTCGGACACTGCTTTCTGAGAAATCCTAAGTAGGAACATTATACTCCCCCACCTTCTGGTTTAACATTCCACAACCACCTCTCTCCCTCCACTTAGTTGTTCCAAAATCCATCATTAGCTCTGTAATAATTGGGATTAGTGTGTTCCTACTGAAATGGTTCAGTACATGGTGAATTGTAGACTGTTCACTCCGGACCATTCATGTCTTATAACAAAACACAATTTGTTATTCAAAACAAAAGGCTTATTTTTTTGCTAGGCCCAGTATTTTTTATTAACCAAAGCTGTTAGCCCTACAGAGTGAGATAAAGCAGATTATGGGGAGGCGAAGATATATCAGCTGAGTGCTTTAAGCTTTTGAAGGTAGACATTAGGTGGCAATTTTCCTCCCACTTTGCTTCCAGTGTGCTAAGAAGGAGAATGAGCTGGACGGAAAGATTGCAAGGTTCTCAAAAGCACAAAATTCTCATGCTGGCAATTATATGGAGAACAGACTACAGCAATTTTCAAACAAACATCTAGAAACATCTGTGAATATCTATGCTAAAACATCTCTGTATATTAGACTGTATTTTAAAGATTCTGAGATGGGGGGAAAAGAGAAAAAGATGTAACTTTGTTCAATACTCAAATTAATCCTGTTGCACTTCTTAGGCCTATCTGCTATCCTGAGTCTGAATTTACATTTCTCTTTGTGCAATGAAAGCAGTCCTTTAAGAGAAATTTGCCTTGTAATGAAAAGCCCTCTTCCAATTTTAAAACAAAAAAGAGGAGGCAAAAATCTACTGTTTCTTCTAGGTACTGAACAGGAATTAAGTGAATGAATTTTGAATACTGCATCCCTGCTAGTAAGAAGATATAGTAAGGACTTCTGTAGATACCAAGCCTGAAATATCATGGAAATAGTCAAGCTGGTTCTGTTAGCTCCTGTCTGAAAATTCTGTGTTCTTATTCAACACTACCAATAACATCAAGAGCTGAGAGAATATTTAAATGGTGGAAGAGAAAGGAAGTTGAAAAAGGGTGTTTCAAGAGCTTCCTTTATCCACTGAACATGCAAATTGTTTTRAATTAATCATATTGCACTCTTGGATTAATTTCTTTCTCTTCCCAGACTTTTCTTCAGTGTACACCAAACAACAGTGGAGACAGAAATGAGCAAGATAAAATGCTGCACACCGTTATTTTCCCCTTGAATCCTGTAGGATTTGCAAATGCTTACCCAAAAGAGTGAGTCATAACTATATCCTATAAGAATTTAAATATTTCTTTGATTTTTTTATCGTTGCTGAAGATTTGTTTGTACCTTCAGAGAGCTAGGCAGTTTCTGAACATGAAAACGACATTGTTCTTTTCCTTAAGAGGATATATCTGAGAATATGAATGCCACAGAAGAGCTCAACATGATAATGTATTGTGATGATGATTAGGCAACGCTGTTCATTTTTGTTACRCTTTGTGCTTATAACTTGAAAGTAGTTACGCATAGGAATTTATTCACAATTTTTCTAAGCACTTCCTATGAATAGCATATTAGAGAAAATGATTACCTGAATTCATATTTGCAAGATACACACTGCTTTCTAGCAATGAAGGATATGGCAGTTCATTTTGCAGCAGGACTCCTGCAGCCATTGCAGTACCTGTTGAAACGGTAATATGTTTACTGTAGAACCACAGCAGAAGTTCAAAACACAGAATGAGATGAGTGCCTGGCGCTGACTGGAAAATGGGAGAACTGTCCAGAGCTGTTTAGGGGTCAGATATGAACTGTATTTCTTGTTTATATATATATGTATATATTTCACAGATTGGTAGTCTGTCCAGCACAAAAGTAGTTTAGCAGATTCTGTATTAGCTGAGCATGGTCTTTATAATTTGTGTTTTATATGGACAGGAGTCACTCAAAGAATTTAAGGTAATGTCGCCTTCATTTTCCTAAATTCAAGGTAAACATGACTGGAAATCTTGAACTGAAATCCTGTAAAGAGCAGCTTTGATGATGTTTACAATATCGTTAGGGCAGCACTGTTTCTAGATCAGACGATTTATAGTTGCAGTTTATATTTTCCAAGCAGACCATCCCCAAGTTATATGCCTCTCTGTTCTCCTTCTTCCACTCCTTTAGTATGTGGATAGGTTTGAAAGCACCAACATGAAGATTCCTCAGAGAGAAGCAGAGTACTATGATTTGGGACAAGAATTTCTTCCAGTGTTGATGTTATTAAAGAGTATTACACTTCTATGCAGATCAAAATAGTATTAAAGCTAAAACAAGTGCTTGAGTAAAACAAWTTTTTTTTTCCTATTTCTATGTACAATGTATTTTTAATTTTTAAAAGATACTCTTCTGCAATTTGTCACAGCAGCAACTGATACTCTCAGATGTTACAGAAAGAAGCAAGAATCCTAGAATGTTATTCTAGGTCATGTTCCCCATTAGCTCTCTGAGGGAATTGAGTCACATACCTTGCAGCCCTCCTATCACCTTAATCACATCCACTGTGTTATCTGTGTGACATGAATTTCTATTGCCATGACAGCAAAGAAGCTGCTCTTTTAATCTTGGTTTCTCCATATAAAAAACGGAGCAGTATCTTAGGTGATGTTCTATCTGTATTTTTTCCACAGGAAGCAATGTCTTTAAGCTTGCAGCAACACAGTAGCGTAACTAGCACACAGCAAAAAACATGTTATCAGCTGATCAAACTATACAGCAGTATGATGTTGCCTGAGGGGAAAAAAAGGATCTCTTGGAATCATGATATCAAGCATTAAGGGAATATTTCAAGGTTTACTGAAAGGTTTATTTATATTATCAAGAGGATTATTTCCCCACTGCAGTGCTTTTGTATTCATTTTATTGTCCCTYTGTAGTATTTTTGAGACTTCTTCTCGTCTGAGCAAACCAGTTCCTAACAGAAAGCATATGTTGGTTTTGTTGCCTATTAGCTGCACCGCTGATTCATACAGTGCATTTGATAACAGATGAGTAGTTGTCAGATCCTGCTGACTGCTTCCTAACTGCAGAAAGGTGCATTTTTGCAGAAGATTGAGGTAGTCACGCTGTGCTGTCGTGGGGGAGATTGAGTTTGTGCATCCCCTTTCTTTACAGGAGGGAAATAGCCTCTGGTCCACCTCTGTCAGCCTCTGGTTGTGATTTCCACTGGAATAAAGGTGCCTGTGCTGCACAGATATAGCAGGAACAGTGAAATGCCAGGTAGTGAGTCGGCCAGTTGGGGTATCCGTGCTGCACGGTGAAACAGGGTCTGTGACTGACTGTGCTGCAGGTTTACCTGGAAAGGGTACCCTGGAGGGCCCTGCTCCTGGTTCACTTGCTTCAGGCTGCAGCATGGGCTGGGAAAATGTCTTTTTAGTATCTCAGGATCTGGGAAGTCTTCCTGGCTTCCAGACACTGGCAGGTCCTTGCTCCTCAGAGCAAGGAGTAAAACCAAAGGCTTTAGAAGCCAGAAAAAGAGCTATAAAGGCAAAAAGCAATGCAATAACAAGAGGCTGTTATTGCAATGACAATACAATCAAGTCCCGCTTGACTGCAGCAATAATATGGCTATTTAATATATGTAACTATTATCTTTTGCTCAGAGCACGTTTTCGAAACAGAGTTTGTGTTCTAGCCTGGGACAATTCCAACTGTGCCAGTTCAGCTGCCAGCACAGCACTAATCCTCTCAGGAAGCTTCTCACCGGGTTTCTGAGCAACTACTTGCTAATAGTGAGGTCCCGTTTCCTCAGATCTGTGTGCTGGGGTAATTCAGAATACAAGAGCGGAGCAATGTATAAGAAAAGCTATATTAAATCTTAAGTATGATATAGGTAAATGCTGATGACCGATTTATACCTGACACATAAAATATGGGGTTTATTTTACTAATTTCTTGCATTTTAAGTCATCTGTTCTCTTTTCTAATGCATTCATGCGCAAACACACATTTTTATCTATCTATAGAAATATATAAAACTGCCAAGTGGCCAAATTTTTAAAGGAACAAAGTTGACTGCAGATGTAAGGAGGATCCAGCTTAGCTTAGTAGCAATTACCCAGCTAGCTCCAAGTATCAGTCCCCAGCCTGTACTTATCCTTATGAGAAACTTTGCTTTTGTGAGTAGTCCTACAAATGTCCACAGGATATTTATCTRAACAAGAAATCATATGGGAAAATGTTTCATTGCCAGAAGGCAAACTTCTGGAAACCGCAGTAATTGAGATATTTAATTCCTTTACGTTTTTTTACAAATAACTTAAATACAAATAATTTAGTTATATGTACTTTACACAGAGAGGCAGTCCTACAACTCTTGTAAAGCTCTAGTGACTTCACTGGGAACACAACCAGGACTGTTTTGTTATTTCCATATGCCTTTTTCTCCCCTTTAAGAAAAGTACTCACCATCTGTTTTAATAAAAGATGAATGTCATTTTTATCATTAAGCATGATATTTACAGAGGATTGAGGCTGCTTACACATTCCAAAGAGACAAAAGAATATAATTCATTAGAATATTATGTAGGTGTTGCCCTGGTAATGCTGTATTTGCTATGAATAGATTTTTGACATAAATTACAAGAAATTGCAACCTAAGCTGATGGACAGGCCTATCAATTGACTTTGTTCATAGTGTTCAAGTCACATCAGCTTCCTGTGGTAGTGTTAGTGCAATACTTAACAGAAACAATTTTAAACTACCTAGAACAGGCTGGCAACCAGTAATTACAATTGAGAATTATAAAGGAGATGGCGTAAGAAATGAATATATTAACTGTTCTACAAGCAAAACTGGTGACTCAGATATTCTTGATCATGAATATCTTGTTTGCTGAGGTAGCCTATGGTTTGTAAGACTGACTATATACAGAAAAGTAAGATATTGTCAGTAATGAATTTTAACAGCATTCAGAAGTGAAAAAGTTTTTAATTGAAGTTCTGCAAGTCAGAGGAATTATTTTTAAAATAATCAAATAGCCAAAACGGTAGTGAATAAATCTACATGCATTTTAGTAGAGATTTTGAATAATTCCAATTTAACCCCTTACCTGTTGCCCAGCAAAAAGAATGAGTGACAGTTGATCCCTTCATGGTTGCAGTACCGAGCACAAGCAGTATGTAGGGAAATTCCCGCTTACAGAAGAGAAGCTGAATGATGCTGCCCCAGTATTTCCTGTAGTTAATTGGATTCAGTGCTGTAATCTGGGAGGAGCCAGTAACTATCTTTTCTTTATCTTAAGACTGCGTGTGGGGCGCTGCACGGCCTATGCAGATAATCATCCCCTAAACTGCTTTCTAGAGCTGCTGAGATTTTAAAGGGATTGAGGCAAACAGGCCACACCAATCTGATGTTTTAATAGCTGAATCCTCCATCTCTTCTTTCTGTTCACCTCATCTTCCTATTATTAACCACAAGAAAATATATATATATATTTACTAGGTGATTACCTAGTTACAAAAATAATTTTGTGAAGTTATATTAAGCAGAGTGATGCTATTAAATTAATTTTGAAACACCATGAAAGGAAAATCATGGGTAAATATTTTGTTATTCATATCTGTAGTTATATCCTGAAGAAAATATTTCATTTCTCACCCAATATAGCATAAACATCACTGAAGTATTTACATCTAGTATGAATTAACTAAACATAAGATCTCAAAATACCAAAAATAAATATCTCTAGATCTAGTGGAGATAATCAAGTAAGARCTCATCATTAATAATTCCTCCCAATGTTGTTAAAGAAGTACAAGCCTCTATGGATGAGAGAGGTGTCCTATTTAAATACACATGGAGCTGCAGGAGACAACTCTCTCAAGGGTGATGCCAACAACCTCACTTATTGCAGAGACAGTCGCAGCTAAACACCTGCCTTTGCGTGGCCAGCAGGGATGGAGCGCAGAGCAGGCCTAAATTGTTGGTCAGGTTTTGGAAACACTGATAGTCACGTTGCACCGTGTTTGTGCTGCGTACTGCTAATAATTCAGAATTAAGAAAAATCCATGTATTCCTTTATACAAAAATTAATTTACTGAGCACAGAGACAAATTTACAAAAGTAGTCCTTAAAATTACGTTTAGGTTGTTAATAATCTTGCCTGTGTATGAACTAAACTGCATTCCAGTCACTTTAGCAGCAGTATACCTCACATATATGCATGTATTGACATTTTTTTGAGAAAAAAAAAGTATTATATACAAATTAGTCTTCAAAATAATTGTGTACAATTCTGAAAAAAAAAACATATTAAGATACCTTAAAATCACAGTTATTCTCAAATTTACTCTTCCATGAGTGGCTGTTTTACTTTGGATCTATTCTTTGCCATGTGCCATGGTAAATATATCTGCTTACAAAGCTCGTAATCACTCATGGGTGAGTGTAAAGTGAGATAAAATCCACACAGAGAAAATCTTTCTGGGGAAAATAAACTGTTTTCAAACGAGCTTAATTATTATCAAAACGAAAGTCAACATACACAGTTTTGTGTGTTAATTATGAAGACAGAAAATAAGTAGTTAGTGACTGCTTGTGAGTCTAATGAAGAAAACAGAAATTTCCATGTTCAATACGTGTTTAATTTTGAAATGCATTCACCACCCTACGTGATTACTGTGTAATTTCTAAATGGACGCRTTTGAAAGGTGGTCAGTGACATGCTTAGTGATTACTTTCATATGGCTGATGTGGATAATATAACACTAAGGAACCTGTTTGATTCTAGAGGGAGTTTAATTTTTGGATGGTTTTGAAACCTGGTGTAAGAGCATCCTCTTTTGCTACATCTATATGTGAATATTAAGTATTTGGTGGGTTGCTCTCTTCCTAGATCAGAACTCTTCAGCATAAACAGCAATTCATTTGTCTGAGAACTATTTTTTTTCTAGCGATCTGCCAAGTTTAGCAAGTTCCAGGAAGCTGTGCCAACTGTGTTTGTTCAAACAGGGCCTGTCATCCTATTTTCATCAAGACAAGGGTTTGTGCTAAGCGAGTATGACTTTTTGGGGGGAGTTAAACATTACGTTAAAATAATCTGCCATTTTCAAAGAGTACACAGAGTAGGTGGGATGCTAGTGACTAAACTAATAGTCTTTTTATCTGTAGGCTTGGCATTTTCCTGTTGAAGCAAAATGAAGAATCACAAGACCTCTGGAAAATTCTACTGAACTATCATTGCCAATCAACAATGTTAACAAGCTTTCTAGGTAAGTAGAACAGCGTCTCCCTAGAGCAGTACGGGCTATTTCACGGCTACCTTACACTGGTCTTAGCAAATTCATCTGTCCCACTGTCTTAGGTACTAATTTTCAAATTAGGCAGGTAGAAAACTACATCTTGTAATGAGCTGGATGCAATTAAAATGTTGGACTGCTGTTAAGACTGCAGTGTTTCCTTGCTGCTGCCTAGCCTGAATTGGAACATGAAATTATAGTACAATTTAAAAATTATCCAAACATAATTTACTTTAAGGGTAATGCTAATTTAGTACAAGCTACRTATTTAGATTCCTTGCTGGCTTTGAACAAGTCCAACTTTGCCTTTTGCTTTCTGTGCTTCTTGTAGCTCGGCTAATGAAAATCTTTGTTGCTCTGTTTTCAGGTCTCTAATGCTTATATTAAAACACTGCCAGGAAAATGGTAGTTTTGTGTACTTTTAAAATTGTATGAATTTTTATGGAAGACTTTGGGATTTTGCTTCTGGATTAATTTTTTTTACCTTCTGGTCCCTTAGCTATAATGCAGTATCACACAGAAAATCAATCGTAAAAGCTGGTTAAAGCCCAGCTTTGGTTCCCAGCACTGGCTACGTGGCACGGTGGTGCCTGTGTGGCTGTAAACCCCTTATCCAGTAATGCTCTGCTTTGTGCTAAAAGCACTGCCTTGGAAGTAGCCAGAAAATGTCAGGGTTTTTGAAAATGGAGGATTTAAGAAGAAACCCTTCTTGCCTAAATTTTGTAACTTATGAAGAGTTAATCTGGTTTGCGATGAACTTTGCAGATGAACTGTTTAATATATGTTAAATTTCTAGGAGCCTTGGATCTCCCAGGCATGCGCAGAAYCTGTTGTTTATGCACAACAGAACTTAGTTCTTCAAAAAGTGGAAATCTAAAAATGCAAAGTGCATGTAAGATAACTCCGTCCTTTTAATATTTTGTCATTGGCCTTTTGCCGAGGAATAGAACGGCCAGGCTGCGTATCACGGAGGACCACTTGAGTGAGGAGCTAAAGGAAGGTAATAAAGGGGTCAAGAGCAAGAGCTGCAGGTGGCAGGTCCTTCCGTGGGCATCTCCTTGCTGTCGAGAGCAGCTTAAAACCAGGTAGGTTTTACAGTATTTCTTTTTTTTTTTTCTCTAATTTAAGCAGTAACAAGCTGTTTAAAATCAAGGGKAAATATGCTGAGAAGCTTTTCTGTGTTGTTGCAAAGAAAACTGCTGAATACAAGGTGGGAAGCTGTTTGCTCTTTGTTGTAAGAGTGCCTAAGCCCCAAGGTTGTTTTGGGGAGGCCTGGCAGAGGCCAAGGGCTGTTTTCACAAAGCTGTGCTGCACAGAATGGGGAAGGCCAGGGGTGCCCACGTGCACAAGCGGCACGAGAGGCGCGTTTTGCTCTCAAATGTGGGTGTTTTGGGCACTCGCAGCGGAGCCGGCAGTCAGCCTGGGCACTGCCAGTGCAGCCRCTCCCAGGCCTGTGGAGCAGCCCCGTGCTGGGAACTCCGTAATTCCAGTGACTCATTCATTTTAAAAGAATTAAGGGGTTTTATGCTCTGTGCCTTATTTTAGTTTTACCAATATTTTAATTTAATGCCTTCTATCTGTGTTGTTCAAAATGCCTTTAAATTCACCTGTGTTGGTAAGCAACCTGAATTGAAACAGAAAGGCTCCCTGTTGCAGTGGCAATTGGCATGTTTTTCAAAAAATGGATAAAAAAATGGATCTGAATTGAGTCCTTTTTTTAAAAAAAGTAGGTCTCATCTTAAACTCTGAATGGTATACAGCAGCATTAAAAAAAAAAAAAAAGTCTAGCATTAAAATTTAAAGATTTGCAAACTGTACTCTTTATGTAGAAAATATGTTGCTGTCTGTAAGGCAACCCTGTACCTTACCTGAGCACATCTTGCCCATTTAGCCCCCGTTTGACACAGCGTTTGTACAAGCATCGCTTCCTAGTAAGTTTCAGCCAGGTGCTCTTTGGGACTTTGTGCCCCTCACCTGCAGTCTTAGCAGGGACCGTGTCGGGTATTTTTGTTGTTTTAATAGTGTCTCTGCGAGGCCGAGCACTGGCTCAGGCCGGGGCTAAGCCCTTCCAGGGCCGTGGCCCGGCTGCGGGTGGCGATTACCTCGCTAACTATAGCTGTGCCGTGACACACTTGCGTACCTGCCCTTCCCGCCGCGCGGCACGGCGGGGAGCTACGCTTATTCCACGCGCGTGTCGCTTGGGGAGGGGTCCGCGGCGCTCGCAGTGGCCGGACGGGTCGCGGCGCTGCGGTGCCGGGCGCCGCCTGCTCGGGGCCCTCTCTGCCCGGGGTGGCCCCGCGGCGGGGCCGGGTCCCGCGCGGCCG